TACATTGTTGCCAGATATAAGTTCTGGTAATTAAGAGAGCCAAAAGCTTGCAATTAAAGAAATTGTGTTTAACATAGAGAGTCAGTGTATATACTTTTTACTTAGTAATTCATCTATGTTATGAGTTTTAAGAAAGTAATAATGTATTTCATTTTTCTTTATAGCTATTTTTGTTAAAGGTTTTTTGGTTATGATGTTTAAAATGATTTTTGAATCTTTTACTGTCTCTACACTTATTGGGATTATTTTGAATTGTTGGCTATATATATGTGAATGTTGGACTAGCTTAAATCTCCTAAACTAATCAATTATTATGAAATATTATTAGGATTAATGCCAAAAATAACATTAACATTGGGTTTACCCAATTAATGGTTTGCATTCTAATCATTGTAAGTTTTTGTTATCTGATGTACCAGTTTATAACATTAAGCCTGTTAGTTCGAGTTCTCATTATTTGTATGACATTTTATTATTATTTTAGTTCTGTTGAAAATACTTAACTTACTTTTGGTAAGAATTTCATAATAACAGTAAATTTCATATTCAAGAGAAACCTTACTATAATATCTAAAAACCAAATTAATTGTATTTTTTTTTGCTCAATTTTTCTGTTGCATGTATATAATCATAAACAAATTTCCAGGTAAGAAATAAAGTTGGTATTTTAATCTTATATTATAATTTGTTTTTCAAATGGTTTGGAACATTTGATTTCTGATGTTAATTATGATTTTCTATGTTGCAGAAGTGTATCAGTTATCAAAGAGTTAATGAACACTTTAGAAACTGCAGAAGTCTTCAAGGTAAGATTATTAGGAATTGATCAATTATTATTCAAAAGCTTGCTATCAAAAGTTTTTTATTTAATTTCTTACAAAACTATTTTTTTATAAATAAGTGAATCATACAACATCCTAGCAGAGTGTATATGGATTAGGCTTAATTAGATATTTACAACTTAAATAAAATTTTTGGTAATGAAAGTCACTTAACTGTCTATTCACTATTTAGAATTAAAACCGAAATCTAAGTTATTAAAAAATTATCTTTCAGGAGAGGCAAATAGCTTTGCATCACTGTTTACCTCTAGGTTCATACCTGCTGAAGCCAGTTCAAAGAATACTGAAATACCATCTACTCTTAAATGTGAGAGTTACTTTTATATATTTCTTAGCCTCTCATGATCTTCTGTCATATATAAGACCTTCAGTTTATTATGTATTTTATTTCATCAGTATAATCTTCTGTCAAATCTAAGATCATATAATTGTAGTATGGTTCTATTTCTTTCATGTGTGAAACATTCAGTTTATTGTATATTCTTTTAATTACAATACCACCTTCTGTCATTTGGGTAATCTTCAGTTTAACGTGTACTTCCTTAACTGCAGACCACTTCTTTTCATGTGTGTGTGTCAGTGCTTCAGCTTATTGTATATTCTTTTGGCCATACGATAACCAATGTAACAATGATTTTAATAATATTTCTTATTTTTCTAAATACAAGTAAACTGATATAAATTACAATAAAAAAGTTAAGGATTTGTTATACCTGAGTTTCCCAAGATGCATCAGTTCTTATTTAGGATCAAATCAACCTTAATTCTCAGTACTATTAATTTTTTTTCATATTCTAGGTAACATACAATATTCTTCATGCATGTATAGCTAAGATCAATACTTTGTAATATAAGTTATTTAGGTTAGTGATATGAATTGTATATGTATCCTCTTCAGAACATTGTGAAATACTCAGACAAAGAGAGTGATGGCTATCCTGACATCAAAAATGCTCTTTCAGTGATGACAGGAATAGCTTATCACATTAATGATATGAAGAAAAAACATGAACATGCTGTGAGAGTTCAGGAGATTCAGTCATTGCTGTATGGCTGGGAGGTAAGCACTGAAAGAAACCATGAACTATAATTTAAGGTTCCAGCACACTTTCATTTTTGATCTTTTTTTGTGTGTGTTTTACAACTTTTTATACAATATTATCTTAAATTAATAAAAAAACAGTTAGTAATTCTCTTCAAATGCCACTTTCAATTACTGATTAAAATAGCATAATAATATAATTTTTAGGGACAACAAGGGATCTATTTCTCTATCTAGGTTGACCCATCCACTGAACTAAAGTAAAAGCAATTAAAACAAACTCAAAGCCAACCCTTATCATTCATATATTTATCAAGCCTTCCCTTCAACTCACTTAAATTTACTACCTCTAAAACATATGAAGGCAATCTATCCCAAAGGCCAACTACCCTGTTTAAAGATAAAACTGTCTTAGCCAAAGATGACTCCTACCCTGCTAATATTTTTATTTAATCCCCCTAGTGCTACCATTCTCATCATTAAACATAAAAATAGATGATGCATCAACACTATCAATTCCATTAGCAATATTAAATACCTGAATCAGATCTCCTCTAAATCTTCTTTTTTTCAAGAGAAAACATTTTCAGAGATCTTTACCTCTCCTTATATGACAATCACTCTATTCCAGGCACCATTCTAGTAGCCCTCCTCTGAGCCCTTTCAAACAATGCAATGTCCTTCCTAAGGTAAATATCCTAAGACAGAACACAATACTCCAAATATGGCCTAACCAATGACCTATATTATAAAATTATAACTTCTTTTGATTTGTATCCAATATTTCTGTAGATGAAACCTAAAATCCTATTTGCCCTTTCAAATGCTTTTCCCACAACTGATGTAAGACTAATAGGCATATAATTACTGGGATAATTTTTGTCACCTCCCTTGTTTCCTTCTATCAACTATTCAAAATGAGGAATATTGCTTTAATATTCCTTAGTAAAAACTGAAGGAAAAGCAGAACTTAATAACTTAGCCATCTCATAATCATCAGATATGAGCCTTCCTTTATCATCCTTCAAAGGCTCTACTCCCATCCTAACATTTTGTTTATCTTTAATGTATTTAAAGAAATCCTTACTATTAATGTTTACATTTTCAGCCAATCTTTTTTTCATATATTTTCTTATGTCCTAATTTCCTGTTTAACCAAAATTTTTTATCTTGTTTAATATTCTAAATCTCCCATCATACCAGTTAATTTAAATTTCTTATATCTGTAATGCTTTTTTTTAATTTTTATCCTTTATAAGCCAACGTGGTTTTTTGCTCTCAACCACCCCTTTTCTTTCTATAAGGAACATGTTTATCTTGAATATTTAAATTTAGTTTTAAAAATTTTCCACATTTGATCAGTGGCTTTAGATAACTCATCGGCCCAATTCACAACAGATAATTCTTGTTGCATCGCTTTTTGAAATTTGTAACCAAAATATCATTATCCCTGATCTCCATATGCAGCAAAACATCGTACCCAGATTTTCTCCAGTTTCTCCCTCTCAACCATTTCTATATTAGGAGTTAACAATAAATCTAAAATAGCAGGTTCCTTGACCAATTGGTGAAGAAAACCATCTTGAACAGTTTATAAAAACCTTTCTCACTCAACATTTCCCAGTGTATTTACTCAAAATTTAAAACACTTATAATTATGATATCATTAACAGCTGAAATCTTAATCTTACTGTAAAATTTCTTCTTAATTTCATCAGTGTCGTATTGTTACGGCAGCGGAAGTCACGTAACACTGGAACCCCTCGAATTTCCAAGTGTTTGCTAGGCGCCCTCTTATTGAGTATATAAGCCTGGCAAATAAAGCCAGCGAGAGATAGATATTCAGATAGATTGAAGATATAGATAATTGAGTCAAGAGAACAGTAGGCACTGTAAGTAATGTGTGTGAACCACTGTTATTTATAGCATGTATTATAAAGGTTGTTAAGTTTAAAGTGACTGTGGAAATTCTGTGTATTACAAAGTTGTATTGCAATGAATTTATACTGAAAATTAAGGAAATTATCAAATGAGCAGATACGTAAAAGTATGGTGGTCTATAACAAATTCCCACTAAAAGTCAATTCCCTTTATATCTGCTAATACAGCAGCTCCCAGCCTTTTCACGAACCTTTGAGTAATAATTGTTTTCACAGTGAACCCATTTTAAAGAATGATAAATTTTGTAAAATAAAATAACTTTTGAACGTGTTGAATGTATTGAAAATAAAAACTTTCTGTAACACATATTTTGTACTATGTTTACAATAAAGTCTGAATCTCTGATATTGTTATCAGTTTGCAGTTAGTACCCAGTAAAATTGAAATATATTTATTGAAACATGATAAAAAAATTGAAAACAAAACCATTTAGCTGAAACTGATGAGACTTCTAAGCTTGTTTTGAAGAACACAATGCTTTAAGGTTTAACTCAACAGAAGAGAGATATAGTCTGAAATCTGGCTCTGCATAAAGCTATTTCCTTCTGTAAATATTTTAACAAATTAGAAGGAAGTTAAAATATTGGTAAAATCTGTAGAACCTGGAAAGTGAAAAAGACACCATTACCAAATGTTTCTTGAAAAATCCCTTAGAATTACCTCATAAACCATAAGGGTTTGTGAACCACTGATTGGGAAACATTGAGCTAACAGGAAACCAAATGGGTTCATTGTCCTTGCTATTACCTTTGATATCCTCAACTTCAACAGAATGTAACTCACATTTTACATATGAAGACACCTCCTCCTCCTCTTTGTAGTGCTGTAATGGGCGTATAGGTAACCTGTGGGCTTAGTTATTGGGTTCGACTTTACACTCGCTACAAAGAAACTTATTTGGATTTTGGGGCAGGCATTTGCAAGCGGAGCACACAATCCACCAACTTGAGGAAGTTTACATGTGGAATAAAGAATTCACAGAGACCACTCAATACAAATCAAATTGTCTTTTTATTTATACACTGTAGAGCAATTCACCTATATCGAAACTCTCAAGGTTATCTTGGAACAATACTAACTCTAAATAATTGAATTTTTTGTTCTGAAGATCTAGGTGTTCATTAGTAACGCCTTCTGTTATGTTTAGTAACATATACACCACATTAGTTAAATTATCGACCAAATTAACATGAGAAATTCTCTCTGTCATAATTAGTATAACTGTATTAATAATTATTCTAAGATATATTTAGGTAATTCCACTTTAAGCATTTTCAAATTTACTATTCGTTATTTACGGTTATTGTTCTTCACTTTTCTCTCTTTTATACATTATTGAACCTAAAGTGAAACACTGTTAGATTGGATCAGAAATTGCATACTTACAAGGAGTTTGTGTTGCAAACTTCTTGTAGATTCTGGAATACTGCCATCTTCTGTCTTCTGGAGTCAGAACAATTCCCCAAAGCAACTTCAAAAAGGTGTGAAGAAGTGGCATTTAGAGTCAGAAACACAGAGTTATATACACAATTTTTAGTGTTTTTCCAATTGTTCAAGAAGGTTTACAGATCTACTCTTAAAATATTTCTTTCATCTTGATTGGTACAAGTGGGATCTTCCATCAACAAGTGAACTATTCCATCAGACTATAACCAAAATACACTTTGATATTGGTTCTTACAGAACGTATTTCGGTCTCTTATCTACTATCTTTGGTAAAATCATCCAAGACAATTACCTTCGGATGTATAGCAACAAACTGTGTAATTCATGTATTTTTACTAAGATTAGTTCACTTAGTGATTTTCCTCACCATCCAATTGATTCATTTCGTCAGGAGCTTTATCTAAACAATTGGGGTTTTATGTCATTATACCACATCTGTCTGGCACTAGAGTCTGTAGCTGTGAATTTTCTTGCCTCTAGGTTAATACACGGAATTTCTCCCAGGCTAACTCCTGCAATGGGCTTAAAGCTTGTATCTTCCTTATTTGTTATTGTGGTTTGTTAGTGTCCACGTTTTTTTTTTTCATAACATTTTCAATCTGCTGCTTTCTCCATACCATACGCTATATATGTTTAAAAAAAAGTACTTCTTCAAAACCTTGAGATATGTATATACTTAGTAATTGTATTCCATAAATACTTCATTATGCTATTCCTATTAAATAACCTATAACTGTATTTCAGAGAAATTTCTGTCATTGAAATTGTCTACTTTTAGCCATTTTTGAGTTATTCCCATTATATCAAAATCCTCCATTCCTACCAGTGCTCTACAGTCGTCAATTTTATATGTATATTTATATACTTCTAACATTACAATAGTAACAATTAAGCCTACCCTTAGAACTACTTCTACACTTTGTTTCTACGATAAACTTTTCTCTAATATTAGATTTTCTGTATTAAGTTTATCCTCTCCCTCACTGTTGTCTAGTTCTAGTTTATAACTTCCCTTACACTTGAGTTAATAGCTCTTGCAAACAAATATTAAACCAGCCCCTATCTTATTTAAATGTAAACCAAGCATTCCAAAAACCTCCCTTCTCCCACTGCACTGATTACACATGTTCAACCAGCTAATCTGCTTATCTTTACTTATTTAATCTAAGCCTAGCATTCAACCCTAGTGACTTACTTGTAATTTCATCCCCACAGTTAATTCTTGACAGTATCCCTGACACAATTAAGTTATAGCCTATTCCTTTAGATGTCTTTATCAATCCACTGTAATTGTCAATTAACTCCTATATAGCTTTCCCTATATTATTAGCCTCTATGTACATAACAAAAACTGATCAGTACTAGCCTCTTTTATTATATCTCCTGCTCTGTCAGTTATATCCCTCACCCATGCCCCTGGATAGCATAATTTGATTATTTTCTCTCTATTTATCCCACATGCCTTATCTAAAAATCACCTATAACTATAACCTCCTGAAGTTTATCTTTCAAATCCTTCTTTGTCCCTTTTGTTTTCCTTCCCACCAGTAGTTCCTCATCTGTACAAGCTAAAGGCTGAAATCTGATGCCCAACAGAACATGCTAATTACAGTTAAATCCAATATTTTTAGCCTTAATAATACTGTTGCGTCAGCGAGTCACATGACTACTGTGATGCCACGTTTCTAGAACTATCCTGTACCTTGGCGAATGCTCTAGTATTTACTAGATATA